GTTTGGTTTAAAGGCCTTTGGTCGTTTGAATGTTCACCAAACAAACGACCAACTCTTAAGTCTGGAAAGGGAGGAGACACGTTTTAAGTTTCCATTTCCTTAATATTTCCCACACTGGTGGAATCTTCTTTGTTCGGTAGCTTTATTATTTATTTATTTTAGCCTGCCGCTTTAAATCGAGGGGGGCACTTCCGGGTTATGACGTCATCGTGGGTAAGCATTAGCATTAGCTGTCTGCTTCAAAAATTTTCGTGGATTTCTGCTTTCAGCCTCGTTTTCTCGCTCCCCCCGCCGGTATAAAGTTGCTTGGTGGAATCTGGCAAAGTGTTGGGAGCTCCGACGGGGGCTCAGCTCAGTTTGTGCTCCAGAAATTTCCAGAAATTAAAACTATTAATAACAGCAGAGGGCTGTTGGTGCTGCTTTAAGGCTTTCTGCTCAGCAAAGGCTCTGATTCTCACCGAGTTCAATAATCACCTGTCATGAAAACACATTGTTAATAAATCTGTTTTATGTTTTAATTTGCACTTTGGAGGTTGTGTTTGAACCAAAAACTAAATTCCGCCCCCGTGTGGTTACTGTAAGAGGTTACACCTTAAAATGTTGTTTGGTATTTATTATGGATTCTTAATCATCTTAAAATGAACTACAGATCCCATTTACATAAATGTCAAAACCATAACTTTGCCAAAGTTCAAGTTATATCATTTCAAATCAATAGAAAGATAAAAATGTATCCCCTTGTATTACGTTTTTTTCCCTTGTAGTTTAACATGTCAGTTTTAAGTGGTTCAATAAAGAAAAAAGCACATCTGAAAATGGACGGTTACAAAGATTGGACTGAAACTAAGCCGTTCAAGCTGGATTTTCTTTTTTTTAGATAGAAATCTTTATCTGGCCCTTTTACAAAATTAGAGAAAAATAAATAAATAGAATATTTATCATCTATTACTGTGCCATAAATTACAAAATTACAAAATATAGTCTTCTGCCAGCTGCTATAAGGCATTATAGGGTTAAAGTAAAAAGCCAATGACCAAAAATAAACTTATTTGAAAGCCTGGAAAACTCTAATATGTCACAAGAGAATCTGTCTGCTGGAAACGAAACAGAAATAAATGAATCAGTCGTTTCTATCAGTGTTTTTCCAAAAGATCCAACAAAGGTTTAGCAACTTTTCATGATCAGAGGCTTCTTTCTTTATTTAAAGAGTTTTGTTTCTGGTTTTGGCCTCTCTGAGGGATCATCTAGTCTAACTAACAGTCCCCCATTTTAAACAAACGGCTTCCAGAGCTGATTTCTGTTATTCAGATGGAGAAGTGGTGAGCACAGGTAGTGGGACTGGTTTCCATATTTGATCTTTTTGTTTGTGAAACTCGGGTGGATTAGCTCCGTGGCTTAGTGCTGTTTGTCTTAAGAGGATTTCCCAGGCGAGGTGTCCCCCCCCTGACGCCCTCCGTCTCTCGGCAGAAGCCCTCGGATCCGTCATGGCCTCTCCAGAGATCGCCTCCGTGTCCTGGGGCCACATGCTGGTGAAGGGATGCCCCTCCAGCTACAAGGACTGCAAGGTGTGGCCCGGGGGCAGCCGGGCCTGGGACTGGAGGGAGACGGGGACCGATGTGAGTAACCCCCCCCCCCTCCCCGACCCCCCCCTGGCCCTGGGGTCGGGGGTCATGCTGCTGAAAGAATGAATTTTTATTAATTCTGTTAACTCATTGACTGGCAGCCATTTTCAGAACAGAGAGTCCCATACTGCCAGAGTTTTTTTTAGCATTTTGACTGATTTTTCAAGAGACACAGAATAGTTTGTGCTATGACTATGTAAACACCGAACACACCAAAAGAAAGAGT